CCCCAAAACCCCAAAACCCCAAAACCCCAAAACCCCTTTTAAATTAATTTTAACATAAATGGCTTCACAATAATGCGATAAGTATTTTTATAAGAAAGAACGAGGATTTAAGAAGGCCTGTGGGATATCAAGAAGCTAGTAGGGAAGCTGGATTCTGGGCTCTTGACTGACTGGTGGTAGGGGTGAAGAAGGGGATTTATTAGTCTCGAAGAGGAGTGAGTTAGGTCAGGTAATGGAACTTTCTTCTGGTTGAAGTGGTATTGAAACTTTGGCAGAGGTGATATGAGAGGGGGTTTTGGACCGAAGGAAGTGAAATGGGTGTGATTTTAGGTACTTTTTGAAATCAACTAAAATAATAAGAAATTGTATACCTTGATCAAATAGCTTAATGCGAGTTAGAGTTCATGCTGTATTATTGTCTTTTGATGCATCCATTCTACCTCTGTTCCTGGAATAGTTTATTTTTAAATCTGCGAAGGTTTTATTATTCAAAAAAATAGCTCTCTTATTTCTTCCAACCCCAGTAGAGCCAGACTTCAGCTCATCAAGCCTAGAAATATTACACTCCACTTACATATCCACCAATAAGTCATATTGAGGCTCTTCCTCATATCCCAAATTCATGATTTCATTATAAAAATATTCAAGATTATGAAAGCCTCCACAAATTTCATCAAAAGTGGTGAAAGCCTTTATCTTGATTATACTATTAATATAGCTCTGTAGACTGTCGTATGCACTCTCAGAGGTGGCATCAGCAGTGTCTCACTGCTTACCCCAAAGCCTGCCTTTCCCTTTCAGCAAGTATAGCATAGTGTAAACCAGAGAAATCATATCGTGCTTTCTAGTAGGAGCTAAAAATGATTATTTAGAACCTTACAAAATTTCTGGAGTCACTCAAAAGCAGCAAATTCAATGCTTCCTCTAAATTTTGGGACGAATTCTTTATATTTGTGCATCCCATCAGCATCAAGATATGCTCATGAAATCCCATAATCTATCAGAACGAATCTGGGTTCATCTTTGTTAGAGTCATTGAGGATGTTTCCAGGCTTAATATCACCGTGGACATATCCTAAAGAATGAAGCTTCTGCAGAGATTTTATGACCTGCTGCCCCATAGTGAGGATCATATCAAAATAGTCTTTATCAGAATACACAGAAGTGAAATTTTCCGAGAATTTTCAGGTTTCGTCAAATTTTAGCACTTTTAAATCCTCCATCGTGCTCCCATGAAGGCTAAGTATCAGGTAATCTTTCGTGTCTGACAAAGAACCGTATTTTATAACCCTTGGGAACCCTAAATTTTTAGGATTTCATAGTACCATTATCATGAGGGAAACCATTATTAAGTTTGGTGAGTATTTCGAGTTCTGCTTTCAAGTTTTCATTTCTTTCACTCTAAATTGTCACAATTTACCTAGTTTCATAGATGGAATTTTATTAAGGCTTACCACTTTCATTGCTCCAGATAGGTCTTCTGCTTGATTAAAAATTTCATAAACTCCTTCTGCTATACCAATGATTAATTACAAATTATGACAAAATAGATCTAGAGCAATCTCTTTCATGAAAGAATTCTCGAGTATTACAACTTTAGAAATATTGCAACATTAGGCATGAATTTAATACGAAGGGTGAGGGCTTACAGTATCCACCATCACCAAGTTTACGAACGTAGTCCCAGCCAGGACATTTCACCGTCATTTTGTTATTCATGAAATATATTAATTGCATTTCAATGAAAATGAAGTATCTAGGGGTTTTGGGGTTTTGGGGTTTTGGGGTTTTGGGG